GGGATGGGGTGGGGCACGTTCCTGTTGATGCTACGCAACTCACAGCTCTACGCAGCAACCGCAGGGGACAAGGTATGCGACATGTGATGAAGATGCTACGCCACATGTGGGTTGGGTGGGGATGGGGTGGGGCACTGATAACGTTCCTGTTGATGCTACGCAACTCACAGCTCTACGCAGCAACCGCAGGGGACAAGGTACGCAACATGTGATGAAGATGCTACGCCACATGTGGGTTGGGTGGGGATGGGGAGGGGCACTGATAACGTTCCTGTTGATGCTACGCAACTCACAGCTCTACGCAGCAACCGCAGGGGACAAGGTACGCAACATGTGATGAAGATGCTACGCCACATGTGGGTTGGGTGGGGATGGGGTGGGGCACGTTCCTGTTGATGCTACGCAACTCACAGCTCTACGCAGCAACCGCAGGGGACAAGGTATGCGACATGTGATGAAGATGCTACGCCACATGTGGGTTGGGTGGGGATGGGGTGGGGCACTGATAACGTTCCTGTTGATGCTACTCAATTCAGCTGTTGGATGGCTTTTGGAAGATTCTCGAAAAAATGTTGTTTCCAATTGGCGAACTCGCGGGAAGTTAGATCGCCGTGTCGACCAGCGCTTGCTGAACCAGATTAAAGCCTTCATGTACAGACACAACTCAGGTCATAACCTGTGGAAGGAACTGGGAAAGCTGGCCAAGAAGAGTCGACACTGAACAACTTGCAAGGGAGAGTTGAAAAATGAGTTATGCTGAATGGCTGGTGGAACCGATGTGACTGAATCTGGCCAACAGAAGAAAAAAAATAATAATTCTTCTCAGAAGTGTTGAAAATCGATGAACACTCCACACGAAACGCACTTTTGGTAGCTGGCCCCAGTGGAAATACGACTTGACGTTTTTATCACGTTTTTACAAAACCTTGCAAATACCATGATTTTGTGAACGAAGCATCATGAAAAATCCATGAATTACCCCGGGTCGCTAACCGCGCCGTAGCCTTGTTTATAGAAGAGTGTCTCTAGTACACTTTCATCTGGTGTCTGAACAATACCGGCCAACACTTGGTCCCAGTTTGAAATGAATGCCTTCAGATTCTCCCCACGCAACTGGACGCTGAACAAATCTTGGAGAGCATAAGTAGCCCCATGTTTGATGTTGGTACTGAAGTGATCATGAAGCATAAATAACACTTGTCTCCCTCTGACAATCCGTCCAGCAGTGGCTTCTGTCTCTTTGAAGGTGTCGACCTTACGAGCGAAGTCACCTGTGATGATATTGGTAAGAGCAGATAGCAGCTTGGCATCTAACGTCGCAAACGGCGCAACCTTCCGGAGCGCTTCAAGTGTTTGATCTTCTTTCCAAGACTCACTAACCCACTTGAAAGCACTATCGGGATCAGTTGATGCAGCCACTACAGCCTCACGTGTCTTGATTCTCCAGTTGCGATAGGTTTCGGCCAAAGGAAATGCAGGAACTTTAATAGTGTCAGTCTTCTTGGCTTTGGGCTTATCGTCACCTTTCTGGTCAACAAAACCGCCTAAGAATTTGATCATTCTGCGTCCAATTTTTTCATCATCATCTTCTTCATCCTTGTCAGGGCCGTTACCACCATCATCACCACCATCAGGGGGACCAGAACCGCCTTTGGGCTTATTCCTCTTTGGTGCATCCCGGCCCTTATCCCTTGAATCGCCCTCATGTGGGTCAGGTGGTGTTGGAGGTCCACCGCCCCCTCCTCCGTTGCCATCCCCTCCGTTCCCAGGATCATTCCCGTCCGGAGCATCGTCATCCCCTGGCTCATAGAATGTCATAGAAGTCCATGTCATCAGCTCCTAAATCAGTCGGGGAGTAACGTTGCGTTGGTACGGGTGAACTGGAGCGACTCCCACCGGAAAGATTGGAGGCCGCTCCTCCCGGAGGGCGTGATGCATTCGAAGACCCTGTAATGCCTGGTTCCTTCTTCACTGGATTGTACTTAGGATTATGGTAAACGATTTCAATCTCATCATCCTCGTCCAATGCCCTACCCAATGAAGGAGCAAATACAGTTGGTACTTTGGGGTTCGGAGGAAAGTTAGTTTTCGGAGGTGGCGCAGCAGGAGCTCCCTTTGAAGTCGGTCGGACAAATTCGGACCCTGTTGCGGATGATGTGAAAGCCTCTGCAGTAACGACCTGAACCGGACGCGCCTGGGCAACTGGGAGTCAAGCATGCTCTGTATTTTGAGGTTGTGTTGCATTTGCGCCTGAACCATCTGTTCAAGTTGAGTAATGCGATCATTTTGAATACGTCTTTCTTCCTCAGCTTGCCTCTTCAAATCAAGAACTTCTTGTTCCTTACTGGAAAGTGACTGGCGATGATTGGCATCGTTGACACGTTGGTAGGCCTGAATTTTCTCACTCATCTGAGCTTCTTGGAACTTCACATGTTGGTGTGCCTCATGCTTTAAACTCTCTCGGTATTGGACTCCCATTCTATTCATTTCATGTTCTCTGGACATCATTGAATCTTGGGCCCTCTGACTTTCAATGCCCTCACGGACTCGCAATGCTTCCACAAGTTTCTCAGTCCTGGCAATGTGGACAGCTTCGGCATGAGCTTCGGCCTTAGCTAAGACCTCACGATGACGGAGCTCGGCCGTTGTTTCCACAAGGCTTGTCAAGGCAGGATCATGCGAGTGCAAATGAACACTTTGCTCGACAAAATTGACTTGAGGATTGTCAACATGTACATTCTGCTGATACGAATTGTGACCATTCATTTGGTTCATATGATGAGTCGGTGGCCCACCCTCCCGAGGGGCTTGAGGAACGTAGCCACGATGTGTGCCTGCATGGGAAGGCACAACTGCGTTCACTAATGGAGGCAAGTGGCGGCGGTCCCTCAGGCTCCTTGATTTGTCGGAACCAGTGGGCGTGCTGATGTCAATGGAGAATGGAGCGTCCGAAATAGGTAATGTCACGGGATTTGCCATGGCAGCATCAGTGGAATTACGCGTCCCTTTGCCCTCGGTGGAAGCACCCAAGGGGGCCGACATACCTACAAAGAAGAATAGTTACGATACGGCTGATAACCTGTTTTACAGGTCAACTAGCCGAAAACTACCAGCAATTCAGCACTGTTTTCTTGAGCCATTGCAACGAGTATAAGAGGTTATCGAAGGAAGTTTAGAAGTCAAACTTCCGACAATATGGACAGATGAAAAGCAGAGGTGGGAAGAGTCAGAGAGAAGAGAAGAGTAGAAGAGACAAGAGTACAAGAGAGAAGATCAGAGAAGAGAAAGAGTCAGAAAAAAGAAGATGCACGTGCGCGAAAAGGTAGGAAAGTCGCGAAACACTTTGTTTTTCCAATGATTTGTGGCTCCGGAGGGTCGAAAAGTAGGCTCGCTAAAGCGGCGGGTGCGGAGCCAGCTGGTCAGATGAGAGATGAAAAATTGCACGCCGTTGTGGCGCGAAGCACATTTCGAAGTCAAAATGCACAAAACACACCAGGGTCGGACCAGTTTTGGAAGTTGAGATGTCGAAAAAGTGCACACCGTTGTGGCGCGAAGCACATTTCGAAGTCAAAATCTACAAAACACACCAGCTTCGAAGCACTTTTGGCAGTTGAGATGTCGAAAAAGTGCACGCCGTCGTGACGCGAAGCACATTTGGAAGTCAAAATGTACAAAACACACCACGTTCGGACCACTTTTGGACGTTCAGAGCTCGTTTTGCGTGGCAGGCACAAGGGATTGTGCACCTGTGTCAAAAGGGAGCAAAACGTGAGGGTTTTGCAGCATTTCCAAAAACGATGGCAGGCGTGTGGCATTTGAAGAGGATCTGCAAAGATGCATTTTCCGTGGCAGGCGCAGTACAAGAGACATGTTCATCAGAGCTGTTAGGAGGTCCGGGTTGCATTTTGGAGCATCAGATCTTCAGGTTTGCTGAGATGATTTTGCGTGACAGGTGCAGCACTTCGTATGACCTGGCATCACGTCAGCTCTGCACTCAACTTTCCATTTTTGAAGGAAGTCTCGCAGAATTGCTTCGTTTTTGATGTTGTCAAGTTTGAAAAATGAATAAGTCTCGCAGAATTGTTTCGTTTTTGACGTTGTTAAGTTCAAAAATGAGGACGTCTCGCTGAATTGCTGCGTTTTTTATTTGTCAACTTTGAAAAATGAAGAGGTCTCGCAGAATTGCTTCGTTTTTGACGTTGTCAAGTTCAAACATTGAGGACGTCTCGCAGAATTGCTGCGTTTTTGATGTTGTCAAGTTCAAAACCTGACGACGTCTCGCAGAATAGCTTCGTTTTCAAGCTTGCAGATAGACAGGTAGATAGATAGATAGACAGACAGACAGATAGATAGATAGATGGGGAGATAGATGGAGACACAGTTAGATAGACAGATGAGATAGAGAGATAGAGAGGTAGCGAGATAGAGAGATAGATAGATAGATAGATAGATAGACAGATAGATAGATAGATAAATAGATAGATAGATAGATAAATAGATAGATAGATAGATACATAGATAGATAGATAGATAGATAGAAAGATAGATAGAAAGATAGATAGATGGATGGATAGATGGATAGATAGGTAGAAAGATAGACAGACAGACAGACAGAGAGACAGACAGACAGACAGACAGACAGACAGAGAGAGAGAGAGAGAGTAGGTAGGTAGGTAGGTAGGTAGATAGTCAGAGAAAGACAGAAAGAAAGAGAGAAAGAGAGGAGACCTCAACCACCGGTCGGTCCATCAGTGGCTTCGCTCTGCCATCCGTGATTCACAACAACCAACCTCTCCTATAGGTTTCCTATTTCTGAAACTTCCGCCGCCGCCTTGCGCGGTACTACTGGTAAGTGATACATATGTACAGTGAGACTAGTGAAAAACAGCAACGCAGAACAACTTCCAATGCAGACGCCTAGCTTGGGGTGCCCAGGCGCAATTTCAAACAGCAGCAAAAATACAACTTCGGTTTTTAACAGCCCACTCCAGCCCAGCGGC